GCAGGAATGTAGGACAGCTGCTTGGTATTGGGCCTGAGCACCTGAGGAAAGCTCAGGTGGGGAGCAGGATTTAGGGATCCAAGTTTCATTTCAGGTGGTTAGATTTGAGAGGTCCGTAAGTATCTGGGTGGAGCCGTCAGACACGCAGGCGCAGTCTGGAGGAGTCTGGCCTTGGGAGTGTGTTTGCGAGTCCTCAACACAAGGTGGATTGAACACCTGGGAGTGGCTGAGGTCGCCCAGGGGACAGGAGAGAAGAGAGCTCTGGATGCTGTACTGCAGGTGTCCTGCAGGAGGCGTCAGCCGGGAGAGACCTGGGAGGTGAGAGGAAGACCTGGCCAGGACTGCAAGGGGAAGCTGAGGCTGGAATCTGACCACTGGCTGTGGGTTTCCATGGGTTGCACTGACATGTTGGATGCCTGCCTGTCCACATGGATATCAGTGTGTGCTGCGGCCGTGCGTGTATAACTGACCCTGAGTGTGAGGATGCTGTGCGTCGGTTTGTGTGGCACATACCTGTGTCTCCATGTGGGTCCACATGCATGCCTCTCTGAGTAGGGGCTCTAAGATATTGGATGTGTTTGTGTTAAGCTGTTTCCGCGCATCTGTGCTATGCAGATCTCTGGGTATCGCTACCTATGGACAAGGGTGTGCCTGTGTTTGGGTTGGCGTGTGACTCGTGTTTGGAGTGGGTCAGGTGTGACTCAACCCTGGTGAAGCAGATGGCTGTGTTGGAGCAGGGTGGGGCTTGAGATGGTTGCTGGTCCCTCAGAGAGAGCTACCCAGAGGGCTGCCTTCTCCGGGGGGATGCACGTGGCCAAGCCAGGCCAGGTGGGAGAAGTGGCAGCCTTGCCCTGGAGGGTTCAAAGGAGCTGGGGGCTGCTCCTCGAGGCCCTGGGAGAGGGCCTGAAGCCTTTGGTCCATGTGGGCCATCCCCCTCACCCCCCCGCCCCCCGTCCTCATGCCCTCCTGGCTACCCGCCTATCTGCTTTTCTGTCTGCCTCTGCCCGCCCACCAGCCTGTCTGTAGGTCTGCCCAGCCACCTGCTTTCTGGCCATGCTGGCTGGGATCTCTCTGCATATATGTCACCTGCCTGGCTGGCTTGCGTCCCACCTGTCCACCTGCTGATTTCCTCCTTGTCTGTCGGCCTGTGGCTGACCTGCTGCCTGCCCACCTGCCCACTTGGTTGCCTCTCTGTCTTCCTGTCTGCCTGTGAGACTAAAGATTTGTCACCTTGGGAGGTGCAGAGTGTTCCTAAGATGACATACAGGAAAGACAGATATTAATGGGTGGTCAGAAGGCTGAGAGATCCAGAGCCTCTGGGAGGGCCCTCGGGAGGCCTGGCACATTCAGGGCTCAAGGCAAAGCCTCACTCTGCCCCCTTCCCCAGTGGCCCAGGTTGGGGCTGGCCCTGGCTGCTCTGCTCCTGACACTGGGGCCTCACACCACCTGGAGGTCAGGGGCTGCCTAGGTCTTGGGTGGAGGAGGAAGGGGACTCACTCAAGGCCTCCTAAGACCTGCGAAGTCCTCTGAATGCCCCCTCAGCACCTGGGACAGCTGCTGGGAAGAGGCACTGTGAAAGTCTGCGAAAGGAGTAAATAACGGTTATGGATACTGAGTATCCTCTAGGTACCTGGCACTTTGCTAAATGCCGTGCTCGTCTCAACACTTCAAATCCTCCCACTAACCCTGTGTAGTTTGTAGCATGACTCCCGTTTTGCAGAGGAGAGTGAGGCTCAGAGAGGTCAAGTAGCCTGTGTGCAGTCACATGGATGTAAATGGGAGGGCCTGGATTTGAACTTCAGAGCCATGTTCCCTAACAGTTTTCCACTTGGCAGCTCTAGGCCATGGTTCTCCATCCTGTCAGCCTCAAAGCTGCCTTTTCATGATATTTTCTTTCTTTCCTTTTTTATTTTTGGCTGCGCCGTGAGGCATGCAGGATCTTAGTTCCCTGACCAGGGATTGAACCTGTGCCCCCCGGAAGTGGAAGCGCGGAGTCCTAACCACTGGACCGCCAGGGAATTCCCTTCATGATATTTTCTAATTGCTTCTTGTACGCTCCTGAAATGAAATTTATGGCTAATAGACCCACCTCTAATTAAAATTAATATATAATTAAATCGAATAATTATATAATTGAATTAATATAAATAATATAATTTAAAAATGTACATATCTTTTTGTCCTGTAATATAAAAGAAAGAAAGGGCAACGCTGTGTATTTGTGAAGTAACTAATTGCCAGGAAGGTGACAGCTACGAGTGCAGACTCATGCTGGGATATATTATGTCAGTGTCTGAAACTGTGAACTCTTGGTGAAGTTCTGAACAAAACAAAGTACAAATTTCCTTCACTTTACACAGTAGTTGCCTTCCCAGAAAATTCAGTGTATATTATGTATACACAAGTCCTCTGTGTTTATGTATAAAATGGAGTTAGAGTCTTGGCTCTGGTAATTATAAACACGTTTTTCACTCATGTCGAGCAGGATGTGGAATCTGTCCTCCTTCTGGGGTTGTCTGGAGCCTTGGCCCCTGCCCCCCAAATGCCGGCAGCACCCCCCGACCTCTGTCATTGTGACGACCAGCCCCCAATTCCGCCCCCC